AACTGCAGAACGACTGGAAAACGACTTCATTTCATTAAGTGCTTTGAAATCTAAACTATGAATCCTAAAAGGCCAAGTCCATAACATGCAGCTGTGTCAATTCAGTGATTGTCATTTTAACTGAACTTTGAAATTTATATTTGCATTTTATTGAATTTTATCTTTATTTTATTTTAATTTTATTCTTGCATGTGTGTTGTTGCTGCCTGTGTTTGAGGAATTTCTTTAACTGTGAGACACTTTCTGCTTCTTGGTCAGGTCTCTTTTGAAAAAGAGGTTTTTAATCTCAATCGGATCTTCCTGGTTAAATAAAGGTTAAATAAAATAAATAATAAGTGAAATGTTCAGCATTAAACTGAGAGCTTCTCTTAGACAGGCAGCCTGGATTCTTTGCCAGCTGCCTCGGGGGGAGCTGTTGTAACCCCGGACAGGTCACCAGTGTCGCAGAGCTGATGCAGAGAGACAGGAGTCATTTTTGTGAATCTGGTGGAGACAGCCAGTGTCAAAAGGCTCTGATGTTTTTAAAAGACACTGACTGCCAAGATAAATTATTTCCATTACCATATCACCTCTTCAAAACCAATATTGTTCACCATTTCCATATCACAGTTTCCAAACCTCAGTCCCGGTACACCTAACATTTCCCTTGATTAATTTAAAAGCCTCTAAGCCCAGGTCCAACCTTGCTGGTCAATCAACCCGCTTCGGGATTGCCCTCACCGATAGTGGTCAAATTTCTAGGCCCTATGTTAATTTAAAAGTGGTCCCCGTGAGTTGACCAGAAACCCCACTCGTGGGCGCTTTCGAATCCCGTCTGAGCCATTAAGCTTTACCTGTCAATCACGTTCAAACAGGACCACCCAGGTCCAACCCTGTCGGTCAAACGGTGCAAGAAAAGTGGTACTTGACCACTGACTATTAACGACTGTCCCTATCTGTCACGGGTATCACCCGGATGAGCCTGTCGTCGCAGGAAATTGCAGCGCGTCCGCCGCAAGATGGAGCCATCACACTCAGAACATTTTGCACCCCTAGAAGTCCAACGTCCGTCCTAAAATTTATTTAAATACGTTTAAAAGCACCACTGTGGGGATTCCACAGCTGAATTATCTGGTGCCCGAGTCCAACTCTGCTAATCAATACAGGAATATATCCCTTAACCAAATATCCTAACCTCATATCTCTTTTCTTGGCTGACGTAACACACACATAACACACCAACTTCAAACATTCGTCACAACAATTAAAAATCCACCCCAGTATTAACAACGATGAGCTTTCATCAAATATCCCCAAACTTTACTGTACAAAAGGCCCCGTAGTTATGGTTTTATTCTGTTCAGTTGTTAGTTCCCCTGTAGTTTTTAGAGTGGCCAGTAGAGGTCACCCCACCGCTTTGTATGAGAGACTATGTCCAGGGAGAGACGTGGGCAAAGCACCTGAGCTTTTCTGCTCCAGATTACTGGCAGAGAATTGGTTATCCCGTGAGAAGTGTG